AAAACATCAAGCCAGATTACAGCCAAGAGTGCCACAGCAGCATCAAGCTCACAGTGCCCCACATGAGCAGTTGAAGGTGGCCCTGGAGTCTATTATCAGTTGGATTCTTCACCCACAGAAAGTACACTTTCTGATGTACTCAGCAATACAAACTGGGGGAGGAGGAGAAGTCATTTGATCCACGTATTCCTATTGTTACACTTGTTTGTTCTGCACCAAGTGTCAGTAAGAAGTCAGGCACTGCTAAATTTCTACATCAGCTTGTAATCATCCAAGAAACAGATGGTGATTACAGATTCCATGGGCTGGGGGTGGTGCTGGGTTTGGTTTGTTTGTTGTTGTTTTGGTTTTTTTTAAGCTTGTACAGTATGCTCAATAACATCCTTAAGCATTCATTCTCTTCTCCCAAATACATGTGACTTACTGGTTGACACAGCAGGTAAGGTCTCCAGCAGTTGTTCTTTACCTCAAAATTAGTTACAAAAAAACCCCACTTGCATTGGTTTTCTTCCACCTTTGGGAGAGATATGTTTTGAAAGGCAGAAGCTTAGCTCCCTACAAATTCCCAGCTTTCTTAACAAGCTTCTAACAGAAGCAGGTAAGCAACACAAGTGAGAGCGGACTCACCAACAGTGTGCCTGGGACAATCGTCACAGGCTGCAGAAACACAGGATCTCCAGCTTTCATTTTTGGCACAGAAAACAAGGAGGAAAGAATTACTTCCAAAAGCATCAGGCAGAAGTTACATGCCTAATGTAACCTTCCTTCCTGCAGTTACTGGACATCCAGCAGCAGTGACAATATGGAAGTAATAATGTTACCACCTTGGTTGTAAATGAATTGTTACAATTACATTAACTAAAAATATAGCTTTAAGTCATACTAACCACAGGGTTTAAGTATTTGCTTCAGTAGCACAGCCAGATCATCTCTGATACAGGGTAAAAGAAACAAGATAAGATCAACTCTTAATGATGCCGATGCCTGCAAGATCCAAGCACACTGACAATTAGTCTTTGCTGCTGTAAGTCATCAGTATTAATGTCATCTACTAAGTGGGACACAGTTGCTTTCCCTTTTACTTAGCACCAAGTTTCATTCAACAGCGTTTTTCAGCATATCAAGGAATGCATTTACAGTTCTGAATGCTAACACGTATTCTCTTGCTTTTTAAGATATTTGGGTAATGTTCTCATGCTTTCCCCACACATGCCCTTCTAAGTTATTACTTATTTTGACTGCACTACCAAACAGTATTTTGCTCTAGGTATCTCTCTACTTCTACCGAAACAACAGCAGAGATCACCAAAGCAATTTGCTTCATTTCTTGGCAGGGGGAGGGTGAATTTACAAGAACCTTGGGTAACAGACACTTCAATGCAGATTTTTTTCTGCATTAAGAATTCACATCTTTGCTGTAAGCCTCCTGCTTTAGTGTCATGTTTCCTCTCAGGCCAGGAGAGCAAAGACAACAGTTCTTGTAACTGCTTCCTTAGATGAAGCTTCTTCACACATTGAATTTAAAATGTGAAAATCCTCCAAAACTCAGCCATTGAGTAATAGTGATTATTGTGGCCCCAAGAGCTAAAGGTTAAAAAGACCGAGGAAAAACCCATTTTTCCCCTCTTTGTCTTCACCAAGTGCTTCCTTCTAATAGACGCCACAATCTGTCAGAACTGCAGGAACTGTATCTCAGCTTCACTATTTCAATACATACCTATGCCCCAAACAGTTAGTAATACTCAGACACTGGTACTGTCTCATAAATTGATATGCACCACGCTGGAACCAGTCTTGCATACAATTTTTCAGACTACTATGTTCTAAGTTCATGTAATTACTATCATCATGAACTATGGTCTATGCTCATTTCTCAGTCTGCATTTTGTTTGTGGATTTCTGGTTATTCTGTCAAGAAACTTAAAGATCCTCAATTCCTGTTCTTAATGAATCCATAATCTGTATTTCTCCTATGAAAATTCTTACTTGCGATAAGGGAGTCCAGTCACACCGAACACTTGTTTTCATTTGATGGATGGTGCCACATCGAACATTTTCGGGTAAGCATCTAACAGAGGAGCCTGCAACACTTTGGTGCTGCATTCTTGACTAAGAAGTGATGTTTAGATTTGGACACATTAATTAATTTGAGCTTTTTCATGCTCTCTCATTCACAGGGATTTTCCTTCCAGGGGACCCAAAGCATTAACCATGACTGCACCTTGCAACAGGGTAAAGAAATGCGATAACATCCACAGAACATGCAGCGGATACTAACGCTTACAGCCACTGTCTTCATATGAACACAAATGAAGCTGCATTTCTCCAAATCTACTGTACTATTGAGCTTGCTCTTCGAGCCCCCACCCCAAAAAAGGACTTTAGCCCAATGTTATGTGTATGAACCAGTACACTTACTACATTTCTAATGGGAACAGCACTGTATGCCACTGTACACTATCAGAGGAATCTTGTACCACCTTACATTTGTCACTATTTACTTTGTTATTATTTGTACTGGAGAGGTCTTTCCCTGAAAGTAGTGGCATTTCCAGTATGAGCACATTTAGCAATGAGCTGCTGCAACAGGAAGATCTCTGTTCTTGTCTAGAGATCTCCCCGTCTCTCCCCAGGGAGACGGCTGATAGCTAGCATGCAGCCGTTCAGCAGAAGTCTCTCACCCTGTAATTATCAGCTCTCTTTCTTTCATTGAAGAGGCCTGTTTGCGAATTTTCCTATGAATAATGCTGGCCACTAAAGAAGGAGCAAAAGAGAGTCGTGTATTTAAGCCCAATTTCAGCAAACAGCATATCATGAATTTGCACAATTAAGAGTCCTTTTTCACTTTGTAGATAAATATCTAGTTCCTTATCAGTCCATGACACAGGATGCCACTGCTTACAGCTGACCTACAGAAAACTTGAAATCCTTTGTCACCGTGTCCTACTGCCTTGCACGTCTATCTTTAGCAGAGCATTTAACCTCACTAGAGCTTTTCCTCCGTCACCAACACCATACTGGTACCTACAGTCAAAGCATCTTCCCCGGATCACCACTTCGGCCACGGTGCTGCTATAACACCAATTGAAGAGGGCTCAGCCTTGACACTCAGCCTGCAGGCTTTGGGCAAAAATGAGCAAAATGTACACGAAGGGAGAAAACTTCATAGGATTTAGATGTTAAGGAAAGAAAAGGAATACCGAGTGCATACCACAGACTGCTTTTCCTGCTCCACAAAGCTGTTACAAAATTCATAGCCTAACCTCAAGCTGCACATTGCAGCGTAAGAGCTTTTAACTGTCAACGAGAAGCATCCCACACAGACCCAGCGTTCGGACGTTCAGACTTTGCACGCCCAAGGAGTAAGTTCTTGGCATCACTCCCCCGACCGACACTTGATTTTTGGTGACCCCGGGGCTCTACACTTTTAACCCGCCACGGTGGCTATTTAAAGATGTAAAGCTGCGCCTTGAGCCTCGTAATGCCCACACCATGTGACACCGTTACCAGGCTCACAACGGCCAGGCTGCCTCCGCAGCCGCGGTCCATCGCAGGGCCGCCGCTCCCGCCAGCCGCAGGGTGATGGAGCACTCCGCGAACGCTGCAATTCCGCCGCTCTGCCACACCAAAGCGCGGCCCGGCCCGCCTCCCCTCCCCCCGCGCCACACACCGGCGGCGGACACTCGCCGGGGCGAACGGCGCGGGTGACGGGAACAACTTCGCTACTTGAACGCCCGTGTCCGGGCGGGATCAGCTCTTATTATTTAACCCCAGCACATGCATTTACGCACCGCCCGCCCGCGGGTGGCGGCAGGACCGGAGCAACGCCGGCTCCGCTCGCAGCACCGTCCGCTCACAGCCACCACCCCGCGCGGTGCTAGACGAACGGAACCGGGACCGACAGGACACGGGTTACCGCAGGCACGGCGGTGGCAGCTCCGCGGCTCGCCTGCCCCCGGCCCCGGCTGGGCGCCGCAGCCTCCTCCGGCGCCCCCCGCCCGCAACCACCGCACCCAGTACCGCGCTCCCAGAGCCCACCAGAGCTCAGGGCTACAACCGGCGGCACGTGCGTCCCCTAGCCCCGTCCGCCCCCTCCGCATCGCCCTTCCCTGCGCGCAGTTCGCGGGGGGCGATGCCCCGTCGGAGCAGCCGGGAGGCGGGCGGCGGAGCAGCGCTTACCGAGTGGTTGACCCCCCACATGAGGACGCTGAGCAGCGGGTCGCTAGCCCGGAACAACTTCACTTTTTGCGCCACGAAGTGCTTCTTCTTGGTCTTGGTTTTACTCGCCATGGCGGGCACGATGCTGCTGGGGGCCGCCATGGCGCTGCCGGCGGCGGCGGGAGAGCGCGAGGAAAGGGGCGGCTCAGCGCCCGCAGCACGAAGGCACGCGGCCGGCGGCGGGCTGGCAGCCCCGGGACACCGCGCGCATCCCGGCCTGCCCGCCGGTGCCGCGCGCTGAAATGGCCCCGCTCGCGCGCCGCCGGCCCCGCCCCGCGGGGGGGGTGGAGTGGGGAGGGGGGGTGGGATGGGGAAGAGGGGGAGGCACCGCTGCCGCCCGCCACGCACTGCGCCCCGCCCCGCCCCGCCCCCGGCGCGGGAACGCCGCGGAGTTTCGGTTCCTGCCTCCACACCGCGCATGCGCCAGCCCCCCACCTACCCCGCCGCGCGGGAGCGCGCCTGCGCGCCCGCGGAGGGAAAGTCGGAGTTGTCGCGGGTGGCGCGGGAGGTAGGGCTGGTGGGGGGGGTCGGGGGTCGGGTCACCTTCGCTCCACGCGCTTGAGAGGAGAGGGGTTGTGGAAGACGAACCCACGGCCAGCGCCCGCCGGGGAAGGAGGTGGTGCTCGCCCCTGCGCACTGCCCCGAGTCCCAGCCTTCACACTGCAGAGGACTCCCCGCTCACAGAATCGCTATGGTAGGAAGGGACCTCCGGAAGACATTCAGTCCAACCCCCTGCCACGGCAGGGCCACCAGGGACAGGTTACACAGGAACGTGTCCGGGCAGAAGGAGACCCCGAAGCTCCCCTGGGCAGCCTGTGCCAGGGCTCTGCCACCTCCACGTAAAGCTCTTCCTCATGTTGAGGTGAAACTTCTTGTGTTCTAGTTTATGGCCATTGCTCCTCGTCCTGTTGCTGGGCACCACGGTGAAGAGTGGCACCAGACTTTGAGATACGTGTGTTAATGAGATCCCCTCTCAATACAGGTCCAGCTCCCACAAGTCCTCTGGGAAACAAACCCCACCATCATCCTAATCATTATCTAATCATACGTATCATTACTTTATGCAGGTTTTGTACTATTCACAAGTTCCCAGTTCCCCACTTTGTAAAGAGAACTGTATTAAGTGAGAAGGACTCTCTGAGGCAGGACTTTGCCAACTGCTGCTGACCTAACTCCCATGTGCAAGGAGAGTGATTCCCTTCAGGAGCCATACAACAGATAGCAAAAACTGCCTGCTGCAGAAGTACTGCACCCCTATAAACTATACTCTGCTGCTATTCATACCCACAGCAAAAAGAAGTGTGTTTCTTAACTGTCTCTATGGCCACAGAGGATGTGGTCAGTTACAGATGACATCCTGCAAAGGCACATCTACCCAACTCAGACACTCTCTAACACTGTGTTCAGCTCTGGGGTATCCAACATAAAAGCATACGCTTTGCTCAGCTGTGTAACAGTGAACCCTAACGACAACAGTAGTCCCTGTTCAGGGTCAGTACACGCAGTTAATACAGTCCATACATCTTCTGTGCATTTATAGTAAGTCATCCATCAATTTCTGAATCAGACAGACTGACATGCCTGCTGTAGGTGTTGCTTTCTGCATCAGCTGATAATTCAGCAAGGTGACCAGATCTGTAGGGAGAAGCGAGCACAGGGCTACTCCATGGAGTGGCCAAGGGTCACTTCAGTCTAAGCAGTGCCCTCAGCAACAGGACCCAGTCCCGCAGGGCCTGTGCACAGTGGGCAGGTCTGGCAGCAGCACACATCAGCAGTCCCAGGGAAGCTGAGGTGATGAACCAGGTCCATCCAGGAAGGTACAATGTAGGCACAGGGTCCATCTAGGAGACATGGCCAGAAACAGGACTGCAGGCAAGCCAGAATACAGTGCTGGAGACCAGTGTACCTGCAGCGTAGCTCAGGCAGAGACCTAAACCAAGCCCTCCATGAGCTTAAATGGAGGTGCAGGGCAGAAGGTGCTCCCAGGTGAGGCTGTTCAGGACAACTAGGCCAATAGGTGAGCTCAGGGTCCTGGCACATGCTTACAGAGCTACTCATGAATTCAAACACTTGTTGCACCAAACAGTTGTTGAGGCATGTCAAGTTCTCAATTTCTGTTTTGCCTGTGTGATCTCAATAGTAAATATGGTCCCTTTTCTGCATCTTATGGAGAGTGGGAGAGAGCAGAGATGCTGTATTTCATTTACTGTCATGCTTTCTTTTAGAGCAAGCTGTTACTTAGGAGTCAGAAAGAGGCTAAAATGGAATTTTTTATTCTTGAAAATAGATTTGGCAACAACAAAAATCCTTTGTATTTCTACTGCAGTCAATGAAAGCAGCTGAATAGTCAGCACCTTTGTATAAAAGCAGGTCACTTAGATGCCTAAGTATAGATTTGAAGTCAGACTTTCACAAGAGTTTGGTACCCATTTTATTCTTTACATTATGCTTAGAACATGACATCTGAGCATCATACGATGCTGAACACATCAATGTGACCGACATCTGTCACATACATCTTTCATCTGTTTTCCAGAGTAAAACCATATAGTGAAGCATTTTGTTTTATATATGAGTAAAACATAACTAACATCTTGCTATGTTTCCTATAGGAAAGGCAAGGCTGAGGAAGGCAGTTGTTCTTTTTTTCCAGGAGACTGTCTCGTGGCGTTGGCCTAGATTCTAAAGAGCTCTTCTCTGCAAATATGAATCCTTGTCAAGGAGGGTTGTTTTATCAGAGGAACAAAAGATGTTGGCCATAACCTTTACAGCAGAATTAAAATCAGTCAAAGCCCTGGGCTATCTTCATGACAGCATCTGGGGCAGAGATTTGTCTTCTCTGATTTTAAGCACAAAGAACAGGATGATTGCCCGTACCTGTCTGTCCTGTAGGTTTCTCACTGATGCCATGATATACATGCAGCTGAACACAGGGGTCACTTGAAAAGGCAAAACCTAACACAGATCCTTAGACCAGGACCCCAGCCAGTGCCCTCAATAAAATGTTCTCTGTATCCCACACCCTTTCTTTTCAAAGCTCCTTTCTAGCTTCACTCCAGCTGCAGCTCCAGGCCCTCTCTTTCCCTTAAGTCTCACAGAAACAATATACTGGCTTTGGATGTGGCCTCCAGCCAGTGCCCACACCAGGAAGTTCTTGCAGCCAAGTCCTGCTTGCAGCCTACACTTCCCTGGGACAGTCATTTTCTAGCCCTAAGCCAGCTGCAGTTCTTGTCTCCCTCTTTCTGGCAACCTTAACCTCAAGCCTCACCCTGAACCTGACAGTTATGTTGACAATTAGACTAGGCCCCTCAGCCAGTGCCTCCACCTAGAAGATTTTGCAGCCAAATTCTCCCTGTGGCCCAGCCTTTCCACTAGCAGCTGCTTTCAGGCCCCCCTCCAGCTGGAGCTCTAGGCTCTCTTCTTCTCCCAGCACTAACCCTAACCCTCACACTAGCTGTATGCCGAGTCTCAGAAAAGGACTGCCAAGCAGCATCCACAGCAAAAACTGCTTGCAACCAAGTTCTTCCTGCACCCTACGCTTTCTAGGCCCATTCTAATCGCAGCACTAGGCTCTCTCTTGTCAAATTTAACCCCAGCTGTAACTCCAACCATAACGGTAGGCTGAGCCTCAGACCAGAAAGCCCTGCCAAGGTCTCCTTGAGTTTACACTGTCCTTCAGAGCCCCTTTCTAACTCCTGCTGGAATGCTAGGCTCTGCCCTTGTCCCAGCCCTAACTCTAACCCTGACTCCTTTCTCCCCTAGGAGGAAGGAGTGACAGAAACAAAGTGCGATGAACTGACCACATCACAACATTCCCTATCACCCTGCTCTGCCTTGGGGGAGAGGAGGTAGAGAATTTGGGATAAAGTTGAGCCTGGGAGGAATATTGAGCCTTGGACTGGAGCTCACCAGGCCAACCCCAAAACTTCTGGCAACCAAATTCTCCTTACAGCCTACACTTCCAGTTATCCATTGCTTCCCAGCCCCACTGCAGCTGAAGGTCTTGGTTATCCCTCTCAAGCCTAACCCTGATTTTAAGCGCAACCAGAAGCTGAGCCTCAGATGTGGCTGTCAGCCAGTGCCCACTGCAAAAAAAGTTCTTGAATCCAGTTTCTCTTTGCAGCCCACTCTTTACTTTATTACCCCTCTTCTAGTGCCCTCCAACTGCAGCTCTAGCCCTTTCCTTGGCTTTCTCTTTTTCTCAGCCCTAATCATGACCACAGGGTAAGCCTTAGAGCAGGACACCTCAGCAGTGCTCTTTAGAACATGTTTGGTCTAGCACCAAAGCATTTCCCCTCCCAAGTTCTCTCTGCATCCCCCCTGTTTTTCTCTGAATCTCCTTTTGTAATCCCATTCCAGCTGCAAGCAGCAGGCTGTCCTTCCCTCAACCGTAATCCTACCTGTAGCCCTAATCCTTGCTGGAGGCTGAGCCTTGGACATAGGCTGTCTTCAGAGGGAGAGCTTAAAGCCTGGGTCTTCTCTTGGTTCACCTTATGGACATTTTTATGCATGCATGAGGGGAGTTTTTACTTATGCAGCCTAGCATAACATGAAAGTTGTATTTCAATCCAGTAACAGTTTTTTATAGAATGGCACTGTGAGTATATGATGCAGTCAGCAGTATGGTGCACATAGAGCATTGGGGCAGTATGAAAAAGCTTCAGAGTTAAGACCAGACCTGGTACAGTGTTGCCTGTAATGCCTGCAGAAAGATCTCTTGGGCAGTGTATCTCCACAACTGCATGCATACTGAATTGCAGGCAAAACTGCTTCATGATAACCTGTGAACAAATTGACTTAGACACTGCAGTGATGGTCAAGGCAGTGACAGGAGGCTTGTTTTGCAATACAATCTCTTCTGAGGTCACAGTGGGTCCTTAGCTGGCTCTTGGAAGTCTACTCAGGACCCGTAGGTTCCAGTGCTGGCAAGGACACTAATGAATATAGAAGAGGAGATTAATTTTCTGAGTTACAGCTCATTTCAAATCCTGACTGGCACTTCCTATTCAACTTGAAAGAAATCCACCCCCCACAGGTGTACAAGTGTTTGAGACTCCTTCAGTGTGTCCAGAGGGTTTTGATAGCTTAATGTAAACCTTTTGCACTCCACCAGCACTGCATAGGGGGGCACAGTCAGGGTCAATTCACAGTGTTGGGAAACTATAAAATAGGTGCAATATCACTAGTGGACTAAGCACAGACTGCTCTGCCTCTGATGAAGCAGTTTACTATCCTTAACAGAACAGAGTGTATTTGGAAGCTTCAGTGGCAACCAAAAGGAAGATCCTCTGGGCTTGTAACAAGTTGCAAGAAAGGCTTGGGAAAAATCATTTATTTTGTTTTGTCCTGTCCACTTCAGGGTTTTTTCTGCCATTGGTACTAAACTTTCTGCTTTGTCCTGCTTCAGGTGCAAGATGCTCCCAGCTGGAAGCTGGTAAAGCATCCAGAAGAGAGAAGAAGAGAGAGTGATCTAGCAAGATTGTGCTAATGAATGGCTATGACTGACTCCATCAATAGTTAGAATAAATTAGAACAAGAGTGTGAACTCTCACCTTGAATTTTAATAAAAGCCTGAGATTTTAACCATGTCTGGCAAACTCACTTCTAAAATCTCTTCTCTGTTTTTGATGTTTGCTGCAATGTTTTGTTTAGCATTATTGTTTAAACATAACACTTCCAAATTCATTACTTATTCCAGTATGAAAAATGTGTACCAATCGCTTGCTTTCTGTTTCACTGGTCATCAAAAGCAATTCTGCTGGTGAGTTAGGGTCTCTGGTTTTAAGGAAGGAATATCACGTAGTTTGTAAGTGAGGCTTTGCCTAGCTACTGGAAGGTAATATTTCCCTTTACAATTATTTTCTGCAGCTGCAAAGAACAGAGGGCCCACAGAGTTTCCCTGGGCCAACTGCCATAGAAACTAATCTCAGCTAAGGCAGACTCATAAATTGTTCCATTACTCTATAAATTGGTCTGGGCACATGTCACTTCAAGCCAAGCTGGGTTACTTTGAATCTAGCCTGTAGTTCTGAAGTAGTGACATGATGAAAATAAATAATATCTGAAGTGAGTTAATATTCTACAAGAGCATGAAGACTACAAGGATGTCAAATTATTAACCCTTTGTTAGAAATACGTAAAGACCAGACAAAACACTTTGAAGACAAAGCCTTTCCTTCATTTGTAAAATAGAAAAGGAGAAATAGAAAACCAGTATCTCTAACCTATTAAAATGCAGACTCCTTAATCATTCTGCATTCAGAAGAACAAATACAATCTCTACGTGGGAATGATTACTGGCTACATATGTCTACAGGCAGAAAGCATCGCCTGCCAGTTTTCAGATGTGCCATGAGGAGCTACAGGATTCACTGAATTTCACATCTTTATAGAAAAGTCCAGTCTATGGAAGAATATTCAAAGTGCAAAATTAAAATGATTAAAATTAATTTCCAAAGATCAATGTGATGATTTTTTAAGCAGAAAGGATTCTGACATTTCATTTTCAGCACTACCAATTTTCTTTGGCTCCTCAACAGGAAGCACAGTACATAACCGAGGCCTGCAAAGAGACTGTCAGCCCCAATTAGAGATCAGGCATCTAACCTAAGTGATGCCTTAAATTTTTTGCTTGTTTGGGCTTTGATGCCTTAATTTTTTGTTTGGGCTTTTTTAGAAGCAAAAAGGTAGACAGTGCACTCCAGTCTGGGCTTGGGAAATCGGTACAGCCAGGCATAGCTCCTTTAATCACCATCCTAAAGACATTGAAGGCCAGGACAGCTTCTTTTCACCTTGACTCTTATAAACAAGCCAACTAAGTGTCTCCCCACGATCAACATCCAGCAGTGGCAGGGCCCATTTTAGCTCAGATGAAGTCAATTTTCCCTAGGCAGAGAAATGCTGGAGCCCAATCACCCCACTCCCTCTGGGGCCCTCGGCTTCCCTTTTATGACTTCCCCCACTTTGGCAGCACAGCTGTCAGTTCCACCTCCCCGCAGTTTAACAAGCCACAACCGCCAGGTTTTGCAGCTTATATGGTCTTTAAGGGCTAACCTCTTCCTTTTTCTTTAGCAAAGGCTCTTAACCCTTCAAGGTTTGTTGTGACTACAGCTTGAACTTGGGAGTCGTTTGTGTGCAGCTTTCAAGAGTCACTGGAATTTTCTCATGTCTCTCTGTTGATCCAAACTCTAGTTTATCAGCTGTACTCAGATAGGGAATTGCAGACCTGTTGCTACACCTGGGGGTTAGAGGGCAGTATATAAAACAATTAATACTTTTTTTTTCCCAGCAAATGGATCAAAATCAATAGATTTCACTATTAAAATTGTGATGTTTCATGAATGGTATCAAATACCTTTAAGCTTAATAAGGACATTCTGTATATACATCTTGTTCATTCTTCAAAGGTATTTTGCTCAACATCAGGTCACTTTGAATAATCTGTTAATTGCACTCATGCCTGTCTAATAGCCGATGCTCTTTTTTCTTATTGAAAATGTTTTAAGCTTCTTGTATCTGTTTTTAATAACATTCAACACACAAAGAGATGGATTTTAATAATAGGTTAAGAAATAAAAAGCAGTATTTAATTTCTGCAATTGCACATTCTTTAACAAAAAGCAGAGCTTGCTTTGTGAAAAACACTGTAAGCTCCATCTTCCTCTCGCTGTTATTTTTATCATTTTTAAAATTTCAGAAGAATTTTACTTCCTGCTGCAGCACTTCAGCAGCCTTTTCAATTTGTAGCCCAGAAGTACAGCTTCCTTAGCATATGCCAGTTTAGTGTTTCTTGCTTGCTGTGGTTAAGTCACAGGAACTACAATAGCTGAAGAACTGTTAAAAGACCTACAGTCGTTCCCACATGTTCTAATTTAGATGGTTGCCACTGTTATGGAGGGGTTTAAGAGGAGGTTATGTTTGTGCACTCTTTCAATGTTGCTATAGGACTTGCAGTACTTTTCTGCTGGAGACACTGAAAAGCTACACTAATGCCTAATAGTGAGCTCTCTAAAAGTCTCATGAAAGTTGTGGAAAAATAAGATACAAAGTTTTCAAAACTCAGCTTACAAAACCACCATTTCTTTTGGATGCCTTCATTTTGGACAGAAAACACCACCAACACCAGATACTGAGACCTTGAACACTGGCAACAACAACGAACTCTCGAAGCTCTAGGAGCACAGGCATTGTGAGAACCAGGTCTCACACATGTATCTCTGTAGTATCTAAACAAGTAACATTTAAAACATCTGGCCCTACCTGCAGTTAAAGAATTCACATGGTCAGCACTTCACTGCACCGGAATTTGCTCCAGACTTCATCCCTTCCAGTTCTGAAATCTGGAAAGAAGGAAATCCTGCAACCTTTCCAGTATTCAGCCACATGCACAGGAGAAACATTTTTCCATGTATCTAACAAGAATTCCCCCTGCTCCAACTTGGTGTCTGTTGCAGCTTGTCCTGTCACTGAGCATCTCTGTGAAGAGCCTGGTTCTGTCTTTCTGTGCTTCTCTCACATTAGGTATTTGGGGTCATCTATAGGACCTTCCCTTTGCCTTTGCTTCTCATTGCTGAGCAAACACAGATCTCGGCTTGTTCTCACATCGCATGTTGTGCAGCCCCATCCTGGTGGCCCTGCACTGGGCTTGCTCCAGTATGTCAATCCCCAGGCTGGACACAGCACTCCAGATACAGCCTCACAAGTGCTGAATAGAGGGGAATAGAGAGGAAGTGCTAATACAACCCATCTATTCTGTCCCAGATCACATTTGCGCATCCTGTGTTTCTGTCAGATCATTCTCCGGTGTGTCTATATTCTCTGGACAGCAGCACTGTCCTCCCAGTATAGCAGCTACTCCCTCCAGTGTCACATTGCCTACAACCTGGTTGAGAGCACATTCCATCCCACCATCCGGGTCATGAATAATGATGTTAAACACTATTATCCCCACTAGGAAGCCTTGAGGGATGCCACTTGTACAGTCAGTCACCAGTTCTGCTTCATATTGTTGATTACAACTCTTTGAGCACAGTGGTCCAGCTGATTTTCTACCCACTTACCGGGTCCATACCTCACTAATTTGGCTGTAAGGAAATAATGGAAGACCATATCAAAGGCCTTGCTAGAATCAAAGTACACAACATTCAGTGCTCCAGCTTTCAGCACAGAGCAAGTCATCTCATCACAGGATGGCAATCAGGTTGTTCAGGCATAATTTGCACTTGATAATTCTGTGCTGGCTGTTACCAATCACCTTCTTCTTATCTTTCATGCTCTTAGAAATAGCTTGTAGGAGCATTCAATCTGTAACAGTCCTGGGAAGGGCAGTTTAGCCGAGTGGCCTGTACTTCAGATTCTCCTTCTTGTCCTTCTCCAAGATGGATGTCAGTTTGCATTCTTTCTTCTTTATGACTCATTTGTAATATATTATTATTTCTATCAATAAAAAAAATTACAATTGACCGTAATATGCTCTTAAAGGGTTAGAATCTACCAGCCCTCTTCTTTTAAGGAAATTTTATGTTTTAATGTAGAAAACTTGCAATAGGTAGGTTTCAGTAAATTGTGATCTGATTCTGCTAGGGAAATTTTTACCATACATAACAAACTTGTCTCCAATTCTTTTGATTTACATAGCAAATATTATATGTATTCCAAGAAATATTCTGTAAGAAAATGGAAATTGGAAAAAGTGACTTCCTCCAATCTATTTTAATTACTAAAAGATTTCCTGATGCCAATAGGTATTTAAAATATTATCATAGATAAAATGAAAGTAAATAATCAGTTTGATAAGCACCAGAATAAGAAAGGAATAAAAACAAATGATAGGAAGGAAGACTTGTCCATATTTACTACCTTGTAATTACTGCATAAAACTCAAAGGACTTCAGACAAAATGAAACTCACTTCTCATGAGAGCAGAAGAAGGAATGGTGTATGAGCTGCTTAGGCAAAAGACTGAAAGAGATTCTAGTGACATCTCCAAGACATTGTATAAAATGCTGTAGAACTGAATAAAGAGAAAGGGGTTTGAGTGTATGGTAATGTGTTGCAAACCTATGATTGCTCTCATCTGTGATACGATTAAGCAGCTGCATGCCACCAGACCACCACTGTTTTATGTGAGGCAGTGGTAAAGGTTAAGTTTATTAAAACTCTTCCCTCTTGTCCATGTTTGAAAATACATGTTGTGGGCCTTTTCTTTCTGTTAATTCTATTTTGTTAAAGTTTTGTAATTAAAAAGGCAGTGAAACTTCAAATGTAAACTGTTCTACAGGTAAAGAGATTACTGCAGCTGCTTATATTAAACGATTTTACTAGCAAAGGTAGGCTATTTCCTGTTCTTAGGAGAAGCTCCTACACCATAAAACCACCTTTTTACACATGTGACATCCTATACCCTAAGACACTGCAGTGCTTTGCCTGTTCTGCTTTTTAAAAGTAGGTTAAACAAAATAATTGCAGCTATTCTAGAGCTGAGAAGGTGCTTCTTTGCCCAAGGTTTCTTCCGTGGTAAGCTTTAGCAGCTGAGGTAGCACTGCTGGTGATCATGGGGATGATAAGATACTGCTCCACCTGCGCATGTGGCTTGGTGTCAGTAACCAGAGTGCTGGTATGAGATTAATTAGCAGGGATTATCAGCGTTGTTCAAACTATGTGACCTGTGTACAGACAAAGCTTTGATCTTTATAAAGTATCATAGAAAACTTCATAGCAGTCTTCAGCAGCACATCTCCCAGTCTTGTTATCAGAGCTAACCGGCTTCAGACTCTCAGTTTTGCTAGTGAAGCATGTTAATTCTGAGGAATTCAGCTTTGGAAAAGGCCAGTGGTCACACAACAGAAAAAGAGCCATTCTAGGCAGGATGCTGATCAGTTTGTTTGCTCCAAACTGATTGTGCTAAATCACTAGCAAAAATTATTCAATATGTAGTGGAGGACTTGGGAAGGCAGACATGGCCAGGGCTAAGACCAGCACCATTTACATTGCAGATGTTGTTCTGACAACTAAATGAAAGTAGACTTCCTCCATTTTAGGTTGGTGGCAAAAACATGGTGAAATAATATGAGCTGTGCTTTATTTTAAAATTAAAGCAACCCAATATAGGTGTGTGATTTATAATAGCTTATAATTGGTTATTAGTGCATTCTATATTAGTTTTAGCTATTTATTCTTATCTGTTTTCTTTCCCAGTTTGTATTTATTTTCCATGAGAGCAAAATCCAGCAGAGACTGGATGTTCAATTGACATAACACAGAGGAAGACAGGTATAGAATTACCCATTTGAGTTACTACACGCAAAAAGGAATGCCTTTTCTATGCACTAAACACATTGCAGCCCCAGTTACTTCTTTTTCTCACATAAAAAGGCACAGTTCTTTTTAAAATTAAAGAAGTCGCAGTGATTTTTACCAGGAGAGCATCTTGTCTGTCATTAAAGTAGGCTTGGTGATGAGTTCATTAGTGGAGGGGGGGAAAGACTGAAGTCACAGGTGAACAACCTCGATATGCCTAAAGCTCTCTGAAGTATACAATTTTACACATGCAAGGTGGGTAGGATTAGAGTGGCAGAAAATGGAAGCAAAAGAGGACA